CGTAATAAAAGTCCGGTCAAAATTTAGTTCCGATTATCCCTAAACCCTGACATAAAAGGTATTTTTGTATTAAAATAGTAAACACTAAAAATAAAAAAAAAACCGATTCAATTTTCGTTCACAATACGATATAATCACATTACAGTCAACGTTGGACGATACTTTGCTACGAAAATAACTCGATCGACAGTTGATTGGAACTGAACTGTGACCAAACTTTTATTACGAGAATTGGCAGATCGTACTAGCCGTGATCATAGATCGACTATTCAAAGGTATATCATAGCTATTAGATTATCACGTTAATTCTCGTTTACGAACGCGACAGTTTAAATATCAAAAAAAGAACCATAGCTGATCCCCGTGCGCAGTTATTTTAATTACATCAAACCACAATAAACTTGGAAGTGTAACAAACTTGTGATTACAAACACCATTAGTAGCGGTTACTGTACTCATAAATACAAGTTATCGTAAGCAATGTATCGATTTACAGATATGCTACGGTAGGTAAACTGACATTTTCTTAGTATTTCTTTAATTCCTTGTAAAACGTGGTATTTGTACTTCGAAGTTTATTGGTTTTCAAAGCTTTTTCATCTAACTAACATACGAATGAACTGTAAGCATTTAGGTCAGTGACTGTAACTTACATTTAAGTTGCAAAATACACTTGATACTGGTCAAGTTTTACATATTATTTTACTAGTATTGGTGTTTATTTACCATTTGTAGATTATGTATTAGCATTTGTCCAAAATGGTTGACCAAACTATTCGTAAGACTGATAGGCAGTGGCTCTAATGCAGAGACTGCACTTGAAATAGGATCTGTTGGACATAGGCCTTCCTACTTACTTACATACATACAGCGAGGTTAATGAAACACGTTGGTTGGCGGTTTCGAATGGAATAAATTTATTCGTCTATCTAGCAGAGCAGCGACAATTAAACATAAACAATTGCATTACTTAACACAGATATAACATCATAGATGTCGTTACACCAATTTTAATGTATTTTGATAACAAAAGAGGTATAATAGGCCAAAGCCTTCTCTAAAGAGAGGTTTATGTCTAACAGTGGACTGTCCTAGTAAAGGATTTTGATGATTGATGAACTTGAACTGAACTACTGGCCTAAGTAAGTAAGGTTACAGGAGCCCAACCCCTCCCCCCTCCACCGAAGTTAAGGACGGGTGGGGAAGGAGTCAACATCATTCGGACTAGCGGCATCATTCGATTATTTCGAACGTAGGTTACGATTACTATTTACTCACGCGTTGTTGCCAATAACCTGTTTTCAGACGATGCATAAAGACCCTATTTAGCCCATTTAACAGGAAATCTAGTCATTATTTTATTATACATAGCTACCATTCCCTACATAATACTGTTTAATCCATTAACTCCTATTTACCTCAAAGAACGCTTTAAGTTCCTTCATGACACACATATGAAATGACTGAGGTCCTCTGAAAGCCTGGCATTGGAAATACCAAGGCATTCTACCAATTTCTACACAAAGTCATTTTCCGTAGAAGCTGTACGTTTATGGAATGCCTTGCCGGTTACTATCAGACGTGCGCAATCTGTAACCACCTTCAAGACTATGCTATATGAGCATTATCTGTCTCTAATAGTTGAAAATTAGCGTATTTATATATTAACGTATGTATGTATAGTATTTATGTATAAATATAGATTAGTAGTATTTATGTATAAATATAGATTAGTATTTATGTATAAAAAAAATATTTCATAGGTTAAGACCTTATTTACTTCTCTAATTTATGTATACCTATCACCATTTCAAAATGAATCCATCCAAAGGTTGCCTGGAAGAATTTGCACTAAGCGACAAGGCCGCCCTTTGTACATTACATCGGTCGTTAATTACTGTATAATGTCTGTAAAACATTGGTGTACAAATAAAGTATTTATCTATCTATCTATCTATAATAATTAAAAGAATACAAGATTTACCTACCTAGCAACCCTAACTAACGTACGCAAAAATCTAATAATATATATGATATAATATAAATATATATATATAATAATATAATATCTAGCCACTAACCATCAGGTAAAATAACAGAGCCAGGTCACGGATGTCACCAAACATGTGCCAGGCTCAAATGGGAATGGCCTTGTCATATGACACGCGAAACCCATTCTTGGAGCTGTTACTTAAATGGAACAAAAATGTCCCTTAGGAAGCAAACAGATGAGATTATGACATCAAAAAGACTAAAAAGAATTGACTCCAAGTGGCTGAAGATAGCGATGAGTAGCGTACATAAGAGGAGGCCTATTAAACAGGCTGAAGAGAGATAGAAAGATGTGGATATAATAAAATCACTAAATGACATAATTAATTAATGAAATAAATAATGTTTCTATTAATATGGTAAATATGCAAATTTACTACATCATTAGAATATTAGCTTCGTATTATATAATTGGAAGATTACGTTGATACTAAACCTCAATTCCATGACATATGAATATATTACCTAGAGGCGTTGAGTGTGGTGTCCGTGTGGTGACGGATTAAGAATAAGGAGTAAGAGCCGACTAAGGGAACTAACTACGCAGGACAACAGCACTGCAAAGAGAAGGAAACTTGACACAAACCCTATACCAACCCGTCTGGCCGGCGTGGTATAGCAGGCCAAATCCAAGCCAAATCCTCTTTTCTAAAGAGGGCCTCTCTTTAGAAAAGAGGATTTGGCTTGGATTTGGAGGATTTGGATGTTCATGTTGAGAATCTGTGTGGTTAAGTATACTTGCTTTGAGCGAGTTCGCAGATTGATAACCATTAGGAAATATTAAATGTTTGAGCTTAAAAATAGAGAGAAAAGTAGAATACAAAATATATACATTAATATTCAAAATAAATTGTACTGTGGCTACTCCCAGTATATCTGGCCTCTTGGTCTAGCGGTTAGTGACTCTGACTGTTAAGGCGGAGATCGTATGTTCGATTCCCACCAAGGACAAATAATTGTGGGACGAGCACAATCATTTGTTGTGTCTGGATGGAATTCTGGTCAGAAAGTCTGGTCACCATAGTGAAGGCTCTGCCTAGTTTAGGATCAGACGGCCGCGTGTGAGATGTGTGAAGTTATTATTAATATTATCATCCATCCACTTTCTGTCCTTTATACAAATTTATTGAGAATTAGCGCAATGTATGAAAGTGCAAAGGGCTGGTTTGTTTAACCGCCGGCCGTCCACATGACGCCAGTCCTCCGAGTCTCTGCTCTCTCCCGTTACCAATCCGAGATATGTGGTTTTCCTAACCCTATCCGTCTTTTTTTACTTTTGTCAAGTCTGAAAACGATTTCTTACATTTTCCATGAGGGTTTGCCGTCCGGCAGGTCGAATGTAAAATTGGCATTTGGTGCAGACCCGAAGTAAAGATGGAAAAAGAGCAGAAATTTGATAAATAATTATAATATCTATAAAATACCTTTACTATAATATGTGTATAGTGCGTGTACCAATATTTAATACATTATTATAGATTATGTCTACTAAGACTGCTTTGAATTTGTACAGTACACCTATTTCGTCGGCCTTGATCCGTGCGGTTATAGCTAACTAGCTGATCCGAGGATTGAGAATACGGAGTGTCACTACCCCTTTTCATCCCGTGAGTATCGTAAGTGCCGACCAAGGAAAAAAAACTACGCAGAACACCAGCACTGCAGAGAGAAGGAAAACTTGACACAAACCCTATACCCACCCGTATGGCCAGCGTGGTATAATAGGCCAAAACCTCCTTTCTAAGGAGAGGCCTATGGCCAGCAGTGGACTATTAAAGGCTGTTGATGTGTGGATGTGATGTAAGCTGATCCGAGCAAATTTGTCTGCTTCGTTCGTCGTCGCGTCGCTCTCATAGACTCTCGGCTCCTCATGATCGTAGCATGTCGTATAACCTATATTCTTCCTCGATAAAAGGGCTATCAAACACTAATAAAACTTTCCAATTAGAACCAGTAGCTTCTGAGATAACCCCGAACATACAAACTCACAAACATTACCACTTCATAATATTAATATAGACATACCCAATTAGGAATGTAATTTGCTATTCGGACAAGTTAAGACACCGCCAAAGCTAACCTGAATTCATTTCACTTAGAATAAAAGCTTTTCAATCCATCTGTGCTTAAAAATCTTCACGAGAAAGGGAGCACAATGTATAAATAAATATTTGTTTATGTCAAATATAGATAAATATAATAAAAACTCCGTATTAAGTCTAAAAAGTTAAGATGAGTCATCGCTAAAACCGTACCGTGACAAAATTTAAGGGCATTCCACATTATACTATAGCTAAGGTATATTCATGGGTAGACTGAAGATCCTGACTTTATTTCTCGAGTCACGCAAGCCTTTTGTATCTGCCGAAGGCCAGTTTTTATGTCTAACAAGCCTTAGACTTGCATAAAAAGTATTTAAAGCTCAAAGACTTACCGCAAATTCCAAAGAATATTATACATAATTTAACCGAACAGGAATTGGAAATGTTAATTTGAAAATGGAATGCATTTTATGCTTATAAGTTTTTTTTTTAATACTTATTATTATAGCGCTATTGTCTATGCTATAGTTACGCGTAATTAACATAATACTAAAAAATTTAGTCATTGATTGAACAAATTATCCCTCTACACCGCAAAAGGCGTGGGTCTTGCAGAATTTTAGCGCTCTCCTTGAAACACATTGTTTTAAAAACATCTTATTGCTAAGGTGACCTGAATGAACATATACAGACAACTTAGTCAATGTTTTCTTATACTTTTTCAATATAAAGCTACATAAACATATCTTCGAATTATATGTAAGTATACTTAAGAATTGTTTTTTAAAAAATCTCAAAATTAAAAAACCACCAATTGCGTCCCGTTGAAATTTACAAGACCGTTAATCACAGCCGCATTCACTCGTTCACATAATGAAAAGTTACAAGAGAAGGGAACAAACTCACCTTAGAGGAACTTTTCCTACGACAAGAAGTAGAAAAGTTTTAAAACAATCACAAACTATAGAGGTCGTAATTTTAGCGACGTAAACAAATGCACTACCGACTCGTCATATAGCGGTACGCGGACTGAGGAATCAAGCCAAAAAGCCTGTTGCCGCGCTTGTGACAGGGTTACCATCGCACTAGCAATATTTCTTTTTAGAAGAATGCAGTGCGCCTTATTTTACACCTTACGTCGGAAAGGGACGGGGAATGTTATGATTTTATTATGAGAATCGAGTGAGTCATTGCCCCGTAGTAGGTAAAGTCACAATGTAAGCGGTACATTAGGATACCAACACTTACACCATTCTAAAGACATTTTAAATCAGTAAAAATGCATACTTGTCTGGAAAAAGAAGGAACACGTTTGTCTTAGATATTTTTTGTTTATTATTATTTTAATAACAAGATGTATGTGTGTTCGTGTAGGTGTGTGTGTATAATTAAGTCTGTGTTCGTATGTATGTCTGCTAGCATATTCTATGAAAGAAAAATAAATATTTTTTCTATTGCCTCATAGTTTTGTTCGATCAACTATGTTTAAACTTTATTTCTACACTGATATAAAAGTTAAGACTGCATTTCGAATACACTGCCTTAACTTTTTATTTCCTCATAGTTTTGTTCGATCAACCATCTTTTAACTTTATTTTTACAGTGATAAAAGTTAAGGCTGTGTATTCGAAGTAGCTTATTTATCTTATTATATATTTTTTACTAAGGAAGTAGAACTGGTGTTTTGGAAAGGTAGTAAAGTGTCTTATGGAAGAGAAAACCATAGGTATCTATATTGTATAGTATAGTATATATAATTCGATGTTTTTTGGTTATTTAGGTTAGGTTAGGTTAGGTTAGGTTGGGGTTTGAGGGCCTTTTCCCACAACGAGCGGAACACACTCCCCCGTCGATGGCCTCCGTCGGCCCAGCTCCGGGCCAGCTCTGCATTGGCCCGTCCGGGATTCGGAGGTAGGGGCGGCTGTTCTACGGATCCGTTCCAAGAACACCGCCCCTGGGCCAGACGGGGTACCGGCCCGAGTGCTGGCCCTGGCCCTCAACCACATGGCAGACCGCCTCGGGGAGGTGTTCGACGCTAGCTTGGCGTCGGGACGCTTCCCTGAGTGCTGGAAAAGCGGGAAGCTGGTCCTATTGAGGAAGCCGGGACGGCCAGCCGATTCGGTCGCGGCCTATAGGCCCATCGTGCTGCTGGACGAGGCGGGCAAATTGTTTGAGAGGGTTCTTTCTGCCCGCATCGTCCGGCACCTCTGCGAGGTGGGCCCCGATCTGTCGGACGCCCAATTTGGTTTTCGGGCGGGGCGTTCGACAGTCGACGCCGTGTTGCGCCTGAGGGCCGTGACCGAAGAGGCCGTGAGCTGTGGCGGCGTGCTGTTGGCGGTGTCATTGGACATCGCCAACGCATTCAATAGTCTGCCATTCAGCTGCATCAGGGAAGCACTCCACTATCATGGGGTGCCAAAGTACCTGAGGCGGCTGGTGGCAGACTATTTAGAGAAGCGTACCGTCGTGTACGAGGACCGAGAAGGTAATTTGAGGTGTCGGCCCATGTCGTGCGGTGTTCCACAGGGGTCTGTTCTTGGACCCCTCTTGTGGAACATAGGGTACGACTGGGCCCTTCGCGCCGATTTCCCCCCCGGGCTGGGTGTAATCTGTTACGCAGACGATACACTGGTGACAGCCCGGGGGGCAAACTTCCAAGAGGCGGCGCGCCTGGCCACAGGGGGAGTCTCCCTGGTGGTCGGGCGCATTGAGGCGCTGGGCTTACGGGTGGCCCTAGATAAGACGGAGGCCCTGTTATTTCATGGGCCCCGTCGTGGTCCACCCCCTGGCGCCTCAATCGTGGTCAACTCGGTCCTCGTACCGGTTCGGGCCCAGATGAAATATCTGGGCCTGATCCTCGACGGGAGGTGGCTCTTCGACGAGCACTTCCGACAGCTTGCTCCAAAGCTGGTCGGCGCTGCGTCTGCCCTAGGGCGACTCTTGCCCAATATGGGTGGACCCAGCGTCGCGACAAGACGGCTGTACACGGGGGTTGTCCGGTCAATGGCACTGTACGGTGCACCGGTGTGGGCGGCGGCTCTGACCGCCCAGAATAGGGTACGCCTCTGGCGCCCTCAGAGGGTAATGGCGGTCAGAGCCATACGCGGTTACCGCACCGTTTCGACGGAGGTGGCGTGCGCGTTGGCCGGAACTCCCCCGTGGGATTTGGAGGCGGAAGTGCTCGCCGAGGTTTATCGGCGAGTGGCTGACTACCGGGCGGAGAGCGGATTTCGCCCTCCGCCCGAGGATGTGCGCGAGTGGCGCGAAGCCGCTCGCCGAGCCACGATGGCTCGTTGGTCGTTCCGGCTGGAGACTCCACGCGCTGGCTTCGCCGCCGTGGAGGCTCTCCAGCCGGTCATCGCCGAGTGGGCAGGGCGGCAGCACGGGACCCTTTCCTTCCGGCTGACGCAGGTGCTTTCCGGGCACGGTTGCTTCGGGAAGTACCTGCACTCGGTCGCTAGGAGGGAACTGAGTCCCGCCTGCCACCACTGCGACTGCAGTGAGGACTCGGCCCAGCACACGCTGGCGGTCTGCCCCGCATGGGCGGCGCAGCGCCGGGCCCTCACTGCAGTCATCGGAGTGGATCTCTCGCTACCGGCCGTAGTACGCTCCATGGCCGGTAGCGACAGTTGTTTTACCGCGGTCGCAACCTTCTGCGAGGTAGTAATCTCGCGGAAGGAGGCGGCGGAGAGGGCCCGGGAGGACGACCTCCACTCGGACCCGATCCGCCGCCGGCGAACCGGGCGGCGGAGGCCCGCCTATCACAGCCTCATGCCGCCCTGAGTGTGGCCGCGGGTGGACGGGGTGGGTTTCCCCTCCACCCGCATTAGTTGGCCAGCCGCGAGGGGGCGGCGTCCGCGTGTGCCGGACGTCGCCTAAAGAGAGGAAAATGTATTGAGACGGAGCCCGCACCAGGAGCGGGCTGGCGCTAGGAGGGGTCCGGATGTCTTAACAACAGCTGTTCCCGGATCCCTCCTGTTACAGGCGCAGAGTGGCACACCGTGTGGTTTTAGTCGGTCCGAGTCCGACACACCACCCCGCCGCAAACCCCGGAGGGGTGACGGTCCGAGGGGATTTCCACACGTTAAAAAAAAAAAAAAAAGGTTTTGTTGTGTAGGTGTCTTATGGAAGAGAAAACCATAGGTATCTATATTGTATAGTATAGTATATATAATTCGATGTTTTTTGGTTATTTAGGTTAGGGTGTGGCGTGTTCTTGTTATACATTGAAGCACATATAACTTCCTGACAGTCAGCGCTTTACACTCCCTGTAGAGCCTCTCAGTTGGATATCAGTATGGCTTGCGAAACATGACTTTGAGCAGACCCTTTGTGCTCTTTCGAGTTTATGGAAGTAGGTCTTACAGGCCCCACCCCAAACTGGTGAACAATAGGTAAGCAAAGACTGACAGAGTGAGAAGTATACTACCATAAGAGTACTCGAGTCATATGAATACCGTAGCTTTTTGAAAATGTAGATTACTTTGCGTATTCCAGAAACCACTTTATCAATGTGCGAATACCAATTCAGGTGTTTTACGATTTGCACGCCTAGGTACTTTATTTGTGGTGTAATTGACAAGCAAAGACAAATACAAGATGAATACTTTGGGTATGCTGGACAAGTGTGCGCTTTTATAGAGATAGGTTTTTTGAGCTGAGTTTGGTTGCTAATCGAAAAATTTATGACTTTAGTTTTATCTGTGTTTAAGGTTAACAAATTATTGGCTATCCAACTTATCACTAGATCTAGTGCCAACTGGGCGTACTCTTCTGTTTCTGGCCAGTTTTTACCATGTATAGAACAATTTTCGAGAGAAAGTGAGCACAGGTCATTTATATACACGAGGAAAAGTGTTGGACCCATTATGCTGCCTTGGGCCACGCCGTACTCCCTAACAGCCCTGTAACTTATTATATTCCCTATTTTGACGTGTTTTATAGATTTTTGAGATAGCTCGAAAATGTATCAAGAGCTATACCATGTAACCCTATGCGCTCTAATTTTGTTAAGAGTAGTGGGACAGTCTCAAAGGCCTTTGAAATATCCAAGAAAATTAAAAGACATTTCTGCTTTACATCCATTTACCTAGGTACGATTTCAATTAAATCAACCACCGTGTCTGCCGTAGCAATACCGGATCTAAACCCATATTGTTTTTTTGATAATATGTTGTTAACTCGAAGATAAGCAAGCATACGGATATTTAGAAGCTGGCTCTTCTTCTCCAACATTTAGTGAGCATAATTATTTCACATTCTAATTTTAGTTAATCTAAGAAAGCCACAAAGTTGTCAAAGTTTTTCTTATACTGGGAATATTTAGATGCAATATTGACAGATGTCTCTGTGAGCTTTCTACAATTTCTGAACACTAATTTGCCGCCACTTAATATGATTTTGATACTTGAAAAGCATCCAAATCTAGTGCTAACTTTTCTATGCGATTGGCCATTTATTAAAAATATGTGGAACACCATAATGCGATAATTGTTTTCGACTATCGCCTAGAACACCGTCGCAGCTCTCTCGATTCTACCAGTGGTATTAAAGTATGGAGTATATGTGTAGAATGTAAGTGTTTGATTTGTTAAGTATATTTGAGTGTGTGTTCATAATGTTAAAATTATATATTTTAAATAACTGTACAAGGAGTGTAATTGATTTGAGGTGTGTGCTTACACACCTTAAATCAATTACAAATTATCGAGCCAGGTGAAATATTTTTTTTTACTGATGAAGATAGTTGTCCGTTTATATAAATGAAGACCTAGTTGAGAAGAATTAAGCTTTTCTTTTTTCATTCCCATTAAAGGATCTAACTGCTGCGATGTTTTTATTTTTTACTGGAACAATCACTCTAGCGACTATTGCAATCTCTGTGTGCCTAAGAGTTGTCTAATAATTAAACCCTCGTTAGGCATTCTTTACATCCTTCGCATTCGAAAACAATATGGGACTGTCTCTGAATCGTAACAAAGTATGGTGTTGACCATGGTAGTTTTTTTGCTGTCACCTCAGGTAGAGGTCACGTCTTTAATGAATATTGAAATCGTAAATCGCATCTTGTTAATTTATTATGCACCAGTAATTACTTTCAAGGAAATGAGTGATGGCCATTTTAAATTAAGTAGCTACCGTATATGGAAATAGGTACGCCGATTATTATACTTAATACTTTTATTTAAACAGAAAAAAAAACAGTTTTGGGTAGGTATTTTTATATGAAGCCACGATTGTAAATAAATAAAAAGATATATAAAATCCACTTTAACAAAGGTTAATTCTCGTTACTCGTACGTACCTAATATCTCAATTAGTGGACGCCAACTGTTGAACAGAGATCTCAGGCAATACGTGTCTTTGTCGTTCATTTCAGGGTAGGCGAGGAGCAGAACTTGATCACCTTTTGACTACAATCTTGAAATTACAACTGAAAACTTATACTTCGCTATATTTTTGCTTGCGTTATGATGTCACGATTGAAAAGTTCGTAAAACCACTAGTGTGGTGTTCGAGAAACGCCTATTCAATAATTTTAGCACATGCAGGATTTGCATTAAGTTGCAGCCCTTCCTTATTAACCCTAATCCTGCCATTCCTTATTATAAAATTGTATCAAAAGCACACTACAAGACATTACTCGTTTATTTACCGTTTTATTTAAAACTGAGTATTACCCCGCTACGTGCGGTATGAACACTTAAACTAAGTACATGATTTCAAGATTTAAGGATCCCAGATTCTATCAGTTAAGACTTAATTACTTACCCAACTTGAACCGCTTCTAATTAGCGGACAAAAGGAAATTGTTAAAGAAACTTCTAATTTTTACAAGCTAATTTTAGAAAAAAAGCAAACACCCGACTGCGTGCAAATGTGTACTTATAAAATTTACAAACCAGCCATTTTAACGTTTATAATTATCATATTCCCAGTATTTATTCTCACGATTAAAACGAATCTAAGGATGTCTCAAACGCCAAAATCCATAAAGCCAGCCTAAACGGCTTAGACCGTACCTTAGAAATACACAGCTTCGAAAACCTGCGAACCACCAAAGAAATATGCAAACATGCACTCGAAAAACATAATCCTCCTTCTGGCTAGCTCAGTAGGGTAAAATATTTCATAAATTAAAAACAACTAAAGAAGACGACTATGGAATAATGACTAATACTTTGTTACTTCATAAACGTTTTGTAGATGGCGTTTTGCAAATTTCTCCAACGCTCTGTTAAGTATGTACAAAAGTAATCCCTATAACAATTAATATTCTGCTGGAGAGGCGGCTAACAAACTTTGCCAACTCTTCTCTTTTATCAGGAACGCTCATTGGTCATATTATTTATTTCATTCATATAACATTTTATACTTCGGAACCTAGGTGTAGTGAAATATACTAAAACCATACTAAACAATAATTTTATTTTTAAACTTTCCGTTGTTTTTTTGCTATCTATACTTTGTCTCCAATATCCATTTTAAACTTTGAGCAGGATTATCACTCGTTAGTTTAAAAAAAATGACTTTTTTTTTAATTTGCCTACATACTTACTACAAATACTAATAATCATAAGGTCTCACTAAAGTCGAATATCCTTATCAGGATCTTCAAGATTAACGCCTTTCTCCATACCGAAAAATACGGTAGTGTCCTTTGGTACGTACTAAGAGGCGTATTCTAAAGTATATGTGACTTACTTACCTATTACTTTTTTATTCAATTATACAAAAAAAAAACATCATCATAAATAAAATACAGTTTAAAAAAAAACCACGCTTTTGTAACTAACTTCACGCAAAAAAGTAGAAAATAATTTTCTATGGGTTCAAAAACAAAAATCATTCTATCGTAAAAAACGTGTTGTGCTTTTTAAGATATTTTATAAAATGATAACTTTACTTTTACCAATTTCTATCAATAAAATATTCTTACAACAATTGAGATCTAGCACCTACGCATTTCTACGATAACATGATTTCTCTTTTTGAACTCATAGAAAAATATTTGATTGGTGGTTTTAGATGTCGAATTTGTGAGTGGAGAGTTGATGTTATTATGGGTAACACTGTGGATAATTTACTTATTCAAAAGTATTGATACCAAAAAAGTATTAGACCAAAGTATCTATACCAAAAAAGCATCGGGGAAAAAGTATCGATACCGTAAGGTATAAGATTTTTAAGCTATTGCATAGCTTCCATCGCGGGCCTTGAGCGTAGAGACCGAATCCAGAAATTCCGTAACGAAAATAACCTAACACCCCCGACCGGCACAGCGGTGATACTTTTTAGTTTTGCCATCTATCGTTGAATAGCAGAACTTTTAATGACTTTTTTGAAATATCACGCTTGTCTCTTTAGTTCAGCAACTCGCCTCTAGGTGGCACCTACATGTTTTGTAAGATAATAAAAATATTTTGAACAATATTAACTTCTCATTTATTTAAGAAAAGAAAAAAAATAGTTTTCTTATCGGTCACCACACTCATAAAGTGTAAAGTGAATTAATATCAAAGAAAAAAACAAAAAAAAAATACTGCATAAATAAAATAAATAAATAATTATAATTGCATAAGTTGATAAAAAATGCTATGCAATATTTTTATATTAATTTTATTTTTACATTTATAAAAAACCTAAACGGAATGTTTTTTAGGAATATGTCAGATAAGTACTTTCCTGTAACTAAGGAACTGAAAGATGATGCGTAAACATTGCAATAATACTATTGAAGGTTGCAATTTTTAGACAGCTGAATAAGTGAAATAGATTAAAAGACAAAAAAACACTACACAAATTATTTAACCCGTAAAGGTCCATCTATCGCATGTCGTATTACAGCCAGGCGAACGGTATAGGCTAATATGGTGGCGCTCGCATTAGCTGACCGATCCGAAAAAACTTTCACTTACATCATGATTTCGTAAAACCGCACCACACTTTTTTTTTAAATAATTTATTAGATATGGGGAGAAGGAGGGGATCAATACTTTTTCAAAAGTATCGCTACCATAGGTACTTGATTCTGAAACAAAAGAATCGATACCCTGAGGTATCGATACTTTTTGCGTATCCCTATTGAAAACGTTTGATACCTAAAGTCGTCACAAAGTAAGAAGCCCGTTTTGACGTTTCTCATTTGACATGCCGCGATAACTTTGTATTAACGTCTATGTAAGAAATTGAAAAATCAAATTCATAATCCTATTTAATTACTATGTTACCCATACACTATCACAACGCGTATCATAAATAAGCATCAAGTTTAACTTTATATTGAAAAAATGCACTCAAAAACACGAATTAATCGTTGATTAATATTCCGACAGAACTTTACTACAATGTCATGTCTTTGGGTTGGTTGCCGTAGTGTTGTAACCGTTAAAAAGCCGTTTTATGGCCGAATAAAATAGAGTTTCTGAAAATCGTTTTCTAAAATTACATTAAAAAAAGAGATAAATGTGTAATTAGTGTATTATTTAATATTTAAACATATAAAAACAAAATCTGATCGCATATAGTTTTAGCTTTATTTTGATATTTAATATGAATATTTTGATATTATACTAAATGATTTGGTTAAAAAACCCGGAGTCCACTCCGGGTTTTTTAACCATTAACACATCATGATATTGAAAAAAATAATTCATCCTCATTTTCAACATTTTGCAACAGTCACATTTGACAACAGTCCTTAAAAGTCAGTCTATAAAAGAATTATCAAAGCCGTACATAATTTGTTTCCTTTCTCTATGTACCTATAGAATGGTTTGTCTATGACCAAGCGGCACGTGATCCATGCGCATACCGTACCGTAATTTATTGAAAGCTGAACTGCTGGAATTAGTAAAACGAAATAAACCTGCAAAATTAAGATATAAAATCGATGAATTGGCACTTCAACATGATCACAAATTGATAAGAACGCCGCCGTACCATTGTCAGTACAATGCTATTGAATTAATCTGGGCTCAGGTTAAAGGATACGCAGCACGTCATAATACAAAGCCACCATTCTCCACTAAGAATATGATGACATTGTTCAAAGAAGCTTGTGATAAAATAACTAAAGAAGATTGGGCAAAAGTGGTAGAAAAGACGCGAAAAATAATAAAGGAAGATTATGATAGAGACGTCAATATTGATAATATTATAGAAAATGAAATAATTATGTATACTGGCGACGATAGCTCATCTGGCTCGTCATCAGAAGAAAATGATTGATTTCACTTTACTTGATTTTGTTGTGATTGAGCTAAATTTTTAAATTAAAGACAAATTGACATTTCTTTCCATTGTATCATTTCAAATTGCCAATAACATTAAAGTTTAAGTTATATGTTCTAATTGTAACTTAAATCCAATGCACTTTGTGATATATAGTCAAATCAATCAAATACTCTACAAGCTTGAATCGATTTATCGTAAGTATCGTGCACCGAGTCGTATGGTTAATCACTAGTTACGCCACCATGACAAATGTCAAAACGGGCTACTTATTTTGTGACGACTGTACCTATGACTAGTTATGACAAATTGACAAGATTGATACTATTTGATATGATATGATACGATACACTGGTGGGCAAAGCTGGTGGGGTTGTTGTTGATTGTGCTGCCGCGTTAAATTATAATTCGTTGTTGTGCCTGTGCTATATGAAAATACTATTTATTAATAAACTAAACTAATTTTACCCCGATTAAGTGATCATAATGACGAACTGTAAAGAAACAATTAGGCAATTCATATTTTTGGTTACGTTGTCTACTGTAAGCTGTATTTCAGCATGTAATTTCACTGTTATTATGAAACAAGATCTAGTCAATGATGGATTTCACAGGTAACCGTAGTATTAATATGTTTTACTGTTAAAAATAATACACCTATAAAAAGTTTTATCTTACCATCGTAATAAACATTGTAAATCCAATATCAAGCTTTATAAGACCGTCATTCAAGATAAAATAGATCACTGAATATTCAGTGTTGGCTTTTAAACTCATCACATAAAGGTTAAAAACTAAATTCGATAAATGTTTAAAGTATTCTAACTAACTATCTATCTAAACCAATCAAATCATTTATTTGCAAATATGGGTATAAAATAAAGGTGGTTAATTACATTGAATTATTCCAGACCATGACTGGACCATAGGCATGCAAAACTCCCTACTCCTTACTTGACAAGTGCTTAATGCACTTGTCAAGTAAGGAGTAGGGTGTTTTCAAAGAGAGAGTATTTAAAGGAAAATGTAAAGCAATAAGGTGTGTAATAAGGTTATTCTATTTAATTAAATTAAACTTACCATCTAAATACTCCTTGACATCAAAATAACATTTATTGATTAGAAACTTTCAATTTTCTTTTGAAGAAAGGAATGCTTTGAATTGTAATAATATAAGTCGGAAGTTTATTGTACAATTTAGGTGCCATACAAAATACACTGTTATTTAAAAGGGTTGTTCTACTCGTTTGTACCTGAATTTTGTTACTATGTCTATTACTACAAAGCGGTTTATATGAATTTAAATTACTTTTTATGAAAACAATAACTTCAAAAATATACAAGTGTGGTAATGTTAATAAGTTAAATGATTAAAAATAAGGTTTTTTTTAAATGGGACTAATCCCACCCACACTCCCACCACTGTAACTTCTGTACACCAGGATCCACAGAAGTGACCCGCGAACACACAAGTTATGACACTCGGGAAGCCCCAGGAAGAAATTATTAAATTAAATCTCCACCAGATTCAACATCTAAAACCACCAATCAAATAATTTTCTATGAGTTCAAAAAGAAAATAAGGTTAACAACTATCATACTTTTAATTGACACATCGCCCGAATACATTTCTTTTGGGATACAAAAGCAGTTTGCCTATTGGCAGAGTTTCCCCAATAAATTAACCCAAACCTTAATATTGAAACTACATAAGCATGGTATGCTGTAAGCGCAGTAGTATGGTTGAAAGTTTTGGTTAAGATGTGTAGTGCATATCAATTTTTTTTCAATTTAAAACATACATTCTCAACATGAGTCTTCCAGTTAAGATTTTAGTCAATATTTATAAATAAAAACTATGCCACCTTGACTTCATTAACTTTCTGTCCACAATAATTTACATCTCCTTCAAGTTTGAAAGAATTATTAGTATTACGAAAAACCTTTTAACCAATTAATTATGTTTATAAGACTGTTATTAATTTCTGATAAAAGCATCTCAGGATTTCTTTTTGTAAACCTAATCGTGTGATGACGGATTGAGAATATGGAATGTCAGCAATCCCTATTAATCCCTATTCATCTCTAAGAGCGGACAAAAGAAGCAAACTATGCAGGTACAGCACTTCAAAGAGAAGAAAAACCTGAAACAAATCCAAACCTACCAGTTTGGCCAGTGTGGTATAGAAGGCCAAAACCTCCTTTCTAATTGCCTCGGTGGTGCAGTGGTAGCGTATGCAACTACTGCACTGAGGTCTCGGGGTTGAACCAAATGTTTGTGTGATCTGCAAATTTATATGCAATACAATATGTATGTATTATAGTTAAACCGCCGTAAGCTTGGCCCTCCTGATGGTTTGGGGGACGCGGGGCGGGGGTGCATTCAACCAATTAGCTAGTGCGTCGCTGTCCGCCGGCAGTGACTGACGTGAAAGCATGGCTGTACGTGTTATTTTTCTCAAGACTGCTACACACGGTATTATTTTGCAACATGGATAATCTGCCGACTCTGCGTCACAAAAAGATTTAAAAACTTGAAGTTTGGCTTACAGAGGTTTTACTGTTAAAGTTCTAATAAAGAATATTTTTTATTTTACTTAATTTTTAAATTGTATCTGAATATAATTTACATGATGAAAATAAGTTGATTTTATTAAAATTATTTGACAGTATTAAATTTTACAATTAATCATAAAAACTTACAATACACTGAAATTATAATACATGGAAATAAATTCGATTTTTATTACATCGTGTGTAGATTAAATCTCTGACAAATAAATCTGAAGATATCGAGTTAGTACATCGTGTCACGTATAGCCGAGCGCATCACCCGCCCCGCGTCCCGCAAACCATCAGGAGGGCCAAGCTTACGGCGGTTTAACTATAACATACAAAAAAAACTATAAAAGTATTCTATCAGTCAATCTAGTTTTCATAGTACAAGCTCTGCTTAGTTTGAAACTAGATGGCGTTGTGTGACAGATGTCCGAAACATTTGGCCTATGTCCAGCAATGGACCATTAAAAGCTGTTGATGATGATGAATATCCCTGGGAAAAGGAATAATTTCCAACAAATGCATTATAGTGCACCAAATTCAGTAAAAACTTATTTCTCATTTTGTATATTTCCAGAAAAATGGTATACGGCATTACTATAATTGCCTCTTTCCGTGATCATCTACCAAGTTTGTGGCCATACAAAGATTGCTATATATCACTTCACCAACCGCTACCAGCTGGTATTTATGCCAACCCAGATGAACTAGATGATCTAAACAGATCTCACAGAGTAGGTATATAATTTTTAAAAATTATTTTTGTTTTTAATTTAAAAAAAGTTAGAACTAATTATAAAAAGTAAACAAACAATGAACAAACAAATAATAACGGGCCTGTTGGTGTAGTGGTTAGTGACCCTGACTTCTAAACCAGAGGTTGTGGGTTCGATTCCCACACAGGACAAATATTGTGTGATGAACACGGTCATTTGTTCTATGATGAATAATAACCTAACACATCTCACATACTGCTATCTAGGCAGAGCCTATGCCATGGTAACCAGACTATTGATAAACACACTTATATATTTCTAAATACAATTACACTCAGACAGAAGAAATGACCATGCATATCACACCATTATTTGTTGGTCAATCAATCCACAACCTCTAGTTTGGCGGTGACAAACATTAGCCACTCGACGAAAACTTTAAAAGGAAGCCTTAAATGTATTTGTAGTTTGAATGAAAATAGTGTAATTTTGCATCTTGAAATCTTCAAGTATTATTTTTTTTATCTAAAAAGATAACTCCCTCACTAGGAATATATCCTGTGTCGCAGGGGAACTTTTAAAATATACATCAAATGGACACAAAGAACACCCAAACTCTAAACAACAATTGTTATATCACACAAAGTGTCGTTCCATGTGGGGATCGCACCCACAACACTCAGCATAATTGTCATTTTAGGTAGTTTTAGTCGGTTTAGACTAATATAATCTATTTTGATGATGCCAACAGTTTTTGAAATGATATTTGGATGATCAATTGGTATTATTAACCGTATTTTTTTCATCAATTTTCAGTTATATGCAGTAACTAAAAAGACCAATGTCGAATTGCCTACACATCTTGCTGAGCCTAATACGGCATACGTCTTTCAAAAGATAGAAGGTGCTTGGTTCGAAACATGGCTACCGCTGCATGCTAGGTATCATAAAGCCAATTGGTTTGGTGGGTAAGTAGATAAACTAGTTTTGCAATAAAACAATTGTGTGTGGACAATGTTTAGTGTGCAACTTATCTGACATAAAAGAAATAAAATTATAAAGTATAGTTTGCAGAGTAAAAAAGTGTGTCTGTTAGCACGACAGGAGTTTACTCCTAATGATTCGGCTGCACACAAGTATACTAATTATACACACACATTACTAAAAAGCGAAAAGTGCGCACGATAGGTGGCGCACAAAAAACGTAACGAGGTCATTCGAGCACAAAATTTTACTCATCATATTTTTTTGAAGGAGTAAACGATTTTAAGGTGTAAACTCCAATTATGCAATTTTTTATTCTCAGATAATCATGTTATACCGAGTCTGAAACAAAAGATATAACTTTCAAGTTTTACTTGTTTTTAAATGTGTATAAGTAAAGGAAGGCTAAATATGAAATAAAACCTCCTCACAGAAAACCGGTGTTAAACAATTGTTTAGTTAGCTTTTAACCGAGTGAGTAAGGTTACCCCCCTCGCCCCCTTATTACTGAGGAGGGGGGAAGGGGTAACCAATGAGTTTGAGGTGCTAATGAGCGCGGTATTTCCTTGAAATCAGGACCCATCTGTTCGTTTGCCCATACGATGACAATGAAATTTCCACTGTGATTGTAAACCCATATTGGTAGCGATAAGATTAAAACCACTTGGAAAATTATTAACTGTGAAACTGGAAAAATTCAATACCGTGATAATGAATTGAATTTGAATATAAACAATAAATTTATCACATCAAATGCTGCATTTCAGAACTTTTTTACTAACATTCCTCTATCAACTACTAAATCTTTGAACTCCTCACCATGCCTTGCAAAATCAATTTTAAAAGATAAAAAAAAATAGATAAAATATGTTTGAAATTGTTAAAGCCTTTAACACTATTAATGTTAAATAAACAACCGACCTATGAGGAAATTCTGTATTAATTACTAAGACAATTATATCTCTTGTGGCTAATCATTTGTCATTTACATTTAATCAATGTGTTGATAGTGGTGTATTTCCTGATCTTATTAAGTCTAGTAAAATTATGCTCTTATTTAAATCTGGTAGTACATCTGACCCAACTAACTTTAGACCTATCTCAGTACTACCAGTATTTACCAAAATTTTAAAAAAAAAATGTAAATTAAAAAAAAATATGAATCATTACCATTTTTTTATAATAAAAATAATTTATTACCTAATAGATAATTTGGTTTTACAAGGGGTCGCTCTACAACTGATGCCAGTGTTGAGGTAGTAAAACATATATTTCATGCCTGGGAGGATACCCACGATTCTTTGGATATTTTTTGCGATTTATCTAAAGCTTTTGATTGTATTGTTCATGAAACGCTGATCAGGAAATTACAGCACTATGGTATCAAAAATAAAGCACTGGAACTTCTTGCTTCATATCTAAAGAATAGGATTCAGAAAGTTGATATTAATGGTGAGCGGTCTCTAGACTCTGTGGTAGAAATGGGCGTTCCACAAGGTTCTATTCTCGGCCCTTTTTTGTTTATATTAATGACTTACCTCACCTTGTAAAGGACAATCTTACTTAAGTATCAACAAATTTAAATCCGCAATAAATCGTTAACTATGTCATAAAGCCTATTACTCATTTGTAGATTACATAGAAGACAAAAATGCTCGGGGTTAATTTGGCACAGGCTATTTCTTAAGTGGAAATGTGATGTAGGCTAATGTGTCTTTTATTATTATTATTTTTCTAGTTTTTATGTATTACTTTCTCTTTTATTCGACCTTTTTTCTTAATTTTGTTTTCCCTGCATTGACTTTTTACCTTTTAATCCTTAATAACGGACATACTGGCACACATCGAAACAATGTTGTGGTATATTTAATGATGCCAATGTATTTATCTGTAAATTGCAAAAGAGTGGTCATGAGTTTGTTTGCCCTTTCTTCTCATAAGGCTCAACCCCTTGAAAACGGGTGGTTGTAGATCTGCATATCATAGATTTTGTATAATTTTTATTAAATTTATTTTGCCAACTATTTGACAAAACAGAGATTTTTGCTATTGTGTCTATTGATCTATGACTTTAGAGTCTACATAAAAGAAGATTTCAAACTTTTTTTTTATGAAATAAAGAGTTTGAGTTTGAATGTCCATTGATCTGTAGGGTTTGTTAAACCAAGTCAGTCCTGAAGATACATCTCGTTGAAAATTTTGGTTCCCACCTTTGTTAATGATATACCATTTATTTCAGATATGTGGTAAACGAAATAGAAAAACCCCAGATGTACATGCGCTGTCCAGATCATCAGTTGGAACATTGCATGAATCCAATGGTTCCCTACAAGTTTTTATGTACAATACATTCCGATGAGAAGTGCATCTGGAAGAAAATACCTTTTGTTGTTGTAAGGAAATTATTTTATTTTTACACCTTAAACCACCCAAAAATACCTGAAAATCTCGGATATAAGAATGCCAGCTTAGTGATAACATAATTGCACGAATGGCGTAGCGGTTTAATCAGTTACCTCGCCGGTTTCGACTCCCACTTTGTGTGATCAACAAATTGTTGTTCTAAGTCTTGTCTTGTTCTAAGTTTGGTCCGTTTCCTGTATGTTTGTAACGTCCCCCGCCCGTCTTTAAAAAAGAAAGAAAAGATAATAACAATAATATTTTCAAACTTCTGGCACACAACGCCATCTAGTTTCAAACTAAGCAGAAGTTGTACTATGAAAGCTAGATTGACTGATAGCATACTTATATACTTCTTTTTAAATACATACATATTACACATGAGCGTATTTAGTATGTTTATTTTTATATATTTTATTACTATAAAGTACACCACAGACTACCCTAAATCATATTTGGCAATATCCGTATAAAGGTTGTCTGTAAGAGATCGCCGTGTGCGATAAGACCGCCTATTGTAATACCACATGTAGTATTAATAAATAAATTATTACTTACATACTACTGTATTAATAAATAAATAAATAAAATAAACATTAAGTATTAGAAATGTGATATTTCTTCAGGAGACATATTTGTTTAACTATATACATATCATCTATACAACTAATATTACTTGCCCTGACTGACTAATTCATCATCATCATCATCATCAGTCTTTAACAGTCCACTACTGGACATGGGACTCTCCTTAGAAAGGAGGTTTTGGCCTACTATACCATGCTGGCCAGACGGGTTGGTATAGGATTTGTATCAAGTGTTCCTTCTCTTTGCAGCAATTCATCAACGCAGATCCTAACACACCGGGCTACAAACTTGAAATTTTGGCACTCGATTTATATTGTAAGCACCCCCTAAGAAAGGATTTTTGTAGATTTCATCCCCAATGGGGTAAAATAAGAGATGAGCGCATGTACATGAGAAATAATCTAGTTAAAGCTAGTTTGATCATAACATTATTCTAAAATTTACTTTTTTTTTTACATTCCAGAGTACCAAATCTCCTGTTTCATGGCAGACACCCATAGGAGATCTTAACCATTACTATCCAGTAGCCATAGTCACCACTACGGTCGTCATCATTGGCTCTATATATCTAGTGTTCTCTATAAATAAAGCCAAATGTTATATGTTAGACTATGACTATACAGACTGAGGAAAATTGTAAAGGGTTATATACCAGGGCCTCGATTCTGCTATTTTATGTTCACGCCAAGCCACTGTCATACCGTTGACACGCTATTGAGATGCCATCGAGTGGCCATTGGCATCGGTATAAATATCGGTAGTCTACACTAACTCAGTGTCTTTACAGTGGCGATGGAATTTCAGTGGCTTCAAAAATATTGCCATATTTGGAAAAATAAATAAATTATTTCCTCAAAAAAGCGTAATATATTTTCAAATTATAAAGAAATTATTATTAAATTATAAATATGGCAATCTTTTTAAAATCACTACTGATGAGCCACTGCCATTCCATCGCCACTGTAAAGACACTGAGTTAGTGTAGACTACCGATATTTATACCGATGCCAATGGCCACTCAATGGCATCTCAATAGCGTGTCAGTGGTATGACAGTGGCTTGGCGTGAACATAAAATAGCAGAATTGAGGCCCTGGTTAGTCCCATCCTTAAATGTCCCGGTTGATGGCAATAGACGAGGGATACAGGAATAAGTATGTAAATTATAGAAACTTACTGAATAATTTTACAGCATATCTAAAACATTATATTTTATACATATGTTATATTAAATACATAAGGATGTCCAAATGTCCACATCATTAAAATACAGATCATGATGATGCCCACGTAACATTGACACAGCCATTAAGAAAGAGATACAGTAAAGAAAATAGTGTATCTTTTAAACAAAAAAATTCCGACTTATTAATGTTTACCACTTCTTGCTAATTTAGGTATTACTTTATCACAGTTTAGGGCTAGGTACGGTTTAAGGTTCGTCAACTTTAAGCAAATCTCTCAGAACTCGCTTCTTAATTTTAAAAAGTAAAATAGTAGAAAGTGACGTGACTGTGTCTATCATAGGCCTCTCCTTAGCAAGGAGGTTTTGGACTACTATAGGATAGGGTTTGTTTCGAGTTTTCCTTCTTTTTACAGTGTTTCTTTTTATAGTTTGCTCCCTTAGTCGTGTCTTACGACATCCACGGCATGAATAAGGGTGCCGACACTCCGTAGGGGTGGTGGTCGCCTGAGCAATTATTAATAATAATAATTTCAATCTCACACATGCCAGTCTGATGATCACAAATTAGTCAAAGCTATGAGGACCAGACTAATAAACATACTAATATATTTCCAAATACAAACATATTATAGATAATTTAAACCACCAATATCACACAACTATTTGTCTTGTCTCCGATTGTGTGCTTCACGAGACTGTTGCCTGGCCCAGATCGGAACTGAATTGAGACTGAAATTTTATTACGAGAATTGACTTTCTGGGTTGGTTATTTATATTTGTTATATAGATAGACTGTTGATGAACACTGTTCTATTTTTTTTTATGGTATAGAGGCAGACAGGTTAAAACCTCGAGACATTCGCAATTCAAGAGTCACGAGTGTGTTGTCCTTACACTCCCTCCCCGAATCAGGGGTAGGGGGTGGGTTCGGGCTCCTGCGACCTCACTCTGTTCCTATTGTTACATAGCAATCATACTATACAAAAAAGAATCTGAGTGATTGTTCCAGAGATTCTGAAGGTTTTCAAGAGTCAAAAACGGTGTTTTTTTTTCTTTTTTTACGGAAGAAGGGGCAAACGAGCAGACTGATCACCTGATGGAAAGCGACTACCGGCGCTCTTGAACGCCTGCAACACAGGAGTCACAAGCGCGTTGCCGACCTTTCAGGAAGGAGTACGCTCTTTTCTTGAAGGTTTGGTAGGTCGTATCGGTCCGGAAATACCGCAGACGATAATTTATTCCAAAGATTGGCTGTGCGGGGCAAAAAGTGTCTTAAAAAGCACACAGTGGTGGAGCACCAGTTATCCGGCCGGTGTTAGTCCGAACAATTCCTTTGAGGAATTAGTCCGTGATGTTTGGAGAGTTATTCTTGGGTACAAATGGGCCGGCTCGACCGGAGTGATCGGGAAACTGGTATTAAGCACTTCTTTCGTTGCTCTCACCGTGTCAGTGACGTTAACGAGGTCCAACCCCCTCTCTAATTCTGGCTAGGAGACTCGGTCTGGAAACGAACATGTGAGTTTTGAGTTAAAAAGATGCCCGTGGACGGCGGAAATTACATCGGGTAGATTACTATTGAAATTAAAGCTTTATTAAAGTACAATAAATAATTCTTATTTTTAAATGGTATCTAGGCTTAATTTAATCCATAAGAGAGTGGAAGGAATAAGTTATTTGTTCATCCATTACATGATATAGTGCTAGAAATTAACTAAGAAATTCAATTATGAATATTTGAACAAAACATATTTTGAATTAAAACTTCTTTACGCACGCTTGACTTAGGGAGTAAGCTGGTGAATGCGTAACGAGAACGTTACGAAAATTGTGATCGGGCGAGGCGAACGGAAGTCGTGAGGGAGATATAAATTACTGCACGGATGGCGTATTGGTTTAAGCGGTCGCCACGCCGCTTCCTACTACGCGCGAGTGTTGTGGGTTCAAACCCCACATGGGACGACACTTTGTGTGATCCACAAATTGTTGTTCTGAGTCTGGGTGTTCTTTGTGTCCGTTTCGTGTATGAGAGAGAGAGGTGCGAGCACACATTTTCTTTCTCTCATAATAATAATAATAATAATTTATTTACAAGTAATTACTAACAATATTGCCGGTGGCCCCACACTAGGCAAGCCTGTCCTGTGGGTGCCTGATACGCTTATACTTTACCACATACATTGCTCGGGCGACGACTTAAAAGTAATTTTAACAAGGCAATAGACAATTAGCCAAGAAGTTTTACTTCAGTCGTGTGGTCAAGAAAGAAACGAGTTACTTTAAGCATTTTAATATTGTAACTGTTTTTTTTAAGCATTTTAATTTTGTATTAAGTAAATCAATGAATTTTCGTAAAAAAAGCAGTCTGAACCTTGACATATCATAATTTAAACATTCCATTTTTTTTAACATAGCCATTTTGTGTCATTTTCTAGTCATTATTTCAATTATAAAAATGTGTTAAATAGTTTTGATTAAGTATTATTATGTTAACAGAAATGGACGGTGAGAATTGTATGTACAATATAAATATTGTATGTTAAGATAAATGTATGAAAACATTATAAGAAATAAATATTATTGTTGTTTTTTCATTTCATATTTGTTCAATCCTTTATATTGCAATAGATTTTAATGTTTGTTCTGATCAAATTAAAAAACAGTTATTGCAAGTATTTTCCGACCCAGTTTCGTATACTCTGTATATGATCGAACTTCAACTGTAATTCAGATATATATTTTAGCATAATATATCATCATCAACAGCCTTTAATAGTCCACTGCTGGACATAAGCCTCTCCTTAGAAAGGAGGTTTTGGCCTACTATACCACGCTGGCCAGACGGGTTGGTATCAAGATCCTTCTTTATGCAGTGCTGGTGTCCTGCGTTATTTTGCGCCCTTAGTCGGCTCTTACGACACCCACGGGATGAATTGGGGTAGTGACATTCCGTATTCTTAATCCGTCACTACACGGACAAGAATTAGTTAAAGTAATAAAATAAATGCCAACCCGTCTGGCCAGCGTGGTATAGTAGGCCAAAACCTCCTTTCTAAGGAGAGGCTTATGTCCAGCAATGGACTATTAAAGGCTGTTGATGATGTGATGATAGCATAATAATTAATATATTTTCCTTTGATTAAAATAAATATAACAGAAAGTACATTATTTACTATCAAACTGACAAGTACCTGGGAGGTAGCTTACCCCACCAATTGCGATACTAAGTTTTTGAAGTCATAATGATTTATATAATTATGACAGGCCTGTTGGTCTAGTGGTTAGTGACCCTGACTGCTAAGCCGGAGGTCGTGGGTTCGATTCCCACCCAGGACAAATATTGTGTGATGAGCACGGCCATTTGTTCTGTCTGGGTGTAATTTATCTATAATTTGTATGTATTTATAAATATATATGTATGTTTATCAGCAGTCTGGTTGCCATAGCACAGGCTCTGCATAGTTTGAGATCAGACGGCCGCGGGTGAGATGTGTGAGGTATATTATTATATAAATTAACGAGGTGGTTTTGCGATGAATAGTGGTCGTGGAACTTTGTATTAATCCGTGACCACCCAGACTTTCCAGACATCCCGTGGGTGTCGTAAGAGACGACTAAGGAGAAAAAACTAAGCAGGACAACAGCACTGCAGAGAGAAGGAAAACTTGACACAAACCCTTTACCAACCCGTCTGGCCAGCGTGGTATAGTAGGCCAAAACCTCCTTTCTCAGGAGAGGCTTATGTCCAGCAGTGGACTATTAAAGGTGATGATGATGACCCAGACTTCATTACCATCTGGAAGTTAATTCATTAATGTGTTCGATTCATTTTGTACTTTTATATCTAGTCACTGTTTGGTTATGTTCTCATACTAAAAGTACGTAAAAGTTGGTTTTTAGACTTCGCAAAAAGTTTTTGTTTCTGATAGGTTCCGATCCAGATAAGTCTTGTTTTCCATCCCCTCTTTCCATTGTGCGGGGTCGGCTATCCTTTTGAGGCGCCATATACCTTTTTAATAAGCATCGTCACTAGACAGGCCCGACTCCTTCATGTCCTTTTGGGCATTCGTCATCCAAGTAGTATGTGGCCCGATTCTCCCTTTTTTTTTGCTGCAGTCATGGAAAGGCATAAGATCCAGATAAGTCTAAAATGAAAAATGCAGTAATTTACGTTATTTCACTATAAGCTTAGATTTGGACTTAAATATAAGTAGCGGACTCATGCATTAAGTTAGTAGTAGTTACTCCAATGCTTAGTATATCTCAAACATATTGATTCTAACGAAAACAGTGCAAGGGTAAGTTAACCTACAATGTTTTTAAACATATTTTGCCATAAAAATTGACGTCTGCCGGAAAATGCAAGAACCCCGTATAATTTTGTTGTAAATTAAGACTGAATTTTTGTTTTTTTGCAATTGTAATATCGGTTTTTGCATTCGTTTTTTGATGTTCTAATAAATCAGTTGTATGAGAATTATTGTGACGTTAAATATCTATTTTGAGTCTCTTTCCTCTTTTAAAAAAGACCGCCCGCATTAGGAATATTTCCTGTGTCGCGGGGGACTTTAAAAACATACATGAAACGGACACAAAGAACACCCAGACTCAGAACACAAAGTGTCGTCCCATGTGGGGTTTGAACCCACAACACTCGCGCGTAGTAGGAAGCGGCGTGGCGACCGCTTTAACCACTACGCCATCCGTGCAGTCATACCAGTGAGTGGATAACAACAAAGCATATCTTTTAAACTTTACTCTATATAAGTAGGTATGCAGTGTCGTAACTAGCGTTTAAGTATAGTTTCTGTAATTAGGCCCAATTGAAAATAAAAAGATGCTTTCACATCCGTTCTACGCCGGTTTGCATATTTCTGAGCCCCCCTCTAGTTATAGCACTGCACGTATGTTTCATTACCATGGATGGTGCATACTATTCAGTTAACATGAAAGAAAATAAAAGAATTTTACTTTATTTGACTTGGGTACGTGTGTTTTTATTTGATGTTTTGGAGAAGCCATGTATGTAACATCAAATTTAAGGACTGTTGTTTTTCACATGTTTACCTTTTTTTAAATAAACATAATGCTTACGTTTTACGCCGCCTGGTGGCACAGCCTTCGTCATACACGTTTCCTTAAATAGCAAACAATTGTGGTCACCTATATTATAAAGGCCGGTGTGTCCCAACCATCTATGGAGGACGATGCTTCCAAACACAAAAATAAATTTTACGTATTGATTTGGGGTTGTCATAATACCCATATGACAAGTCATAAAAAGTTTGAAAACGCAAAAAGTTTAATCTGTTGCATATTACTCACAAGTAAAGCAGAGAAATACCTACCTACCTGTAGTAGAAAATGAGAACTGCATGTATAGAGCTAAAATTGTCATCAGATGTAGGTTTTCAATGCCAATGACAAACTACTGGTAGCCTACCTTACCTAGTAGTTACAGGAAAGATGATAGATGGAGTTATGTTCTCTGTAACGGGCTCCATCTACGTTCCATTAAGCTCAACGCTCTTAGTACCTCTCAGCGAAAGTTAACACAACTAAGAGATGGCACCACGTTCCTACGCTTATTGATCATGTCAAGTTTGAACTAGTTTGTGTTACCGGCTGGTGTTGTATGACAGGCTTACAGCCAAGGGATGGTCATGACAGCTTTACTTAAGAACGCCCCTATCATGTCACCGGCGTTTCTGTCGACTATATCCTGTTTTGTATATTTATACGATAGCTCCATTGAGTGCGTGTCGGCATGTACCTATAGAATGTTTGCTAGACCGTAAAACGGACTCTGACGATCTCGGCGGCCGGCTGCGAGATTAGGGTCAGTCGGGTGATGCAAGTGCTACCGCGCAGCGGGTATGGAGTGCACAAAGTGGTGCACACGTGCGTGGCGGCGGGTCGCGGGGCCGTGCAACGGGGGCGTGCCGTCGTGCGTACTCCGCGCGCCGCAGATATGGATTTAAGATTAACGAGGCCACGTAAACGTGCTGGCGCGGGGGTCGGGGCGCGCGCCGTGTTTACATGCGGGTGCAGGCGGCGGGTGCAGCGGGCGGGCGATCGATCGCTGGGCGGGGCGGGAGCGGCGCCGGGCGGCGGGGGGCGGGGCGAACGCGCGCCGGCCGCCAGTCCGCCTCGGGGCCGCGTCCGCGCGGTCGTCGCTTGTCCCGCGGTGCGGCGCGCCGGAGTGTCACCGAAGGCGCCCGGCGGCGGCGGCGAGCCTCGCGCCGCCCGCCCCCGCGCCGATGCCGCTACCGCCCGCTCGCGTAGTGCACCCTCACCCCCACCCCGCGACCTCCGCGCAGCAGGCCGGCGCCGCGCGCGCAGCTTGGCCGCTCGTCTAGCGCTCTCCTTGCCGCCCGCGCACCCCGCTCCGCGGCTGCGGCCCGTGTTCCTGTGGGCGCGCCAGCGCGACGGTACAGTGCAAGAAGTTCGCTGTGAAGACTACGACTCGCGTAACCGAATTCGCATCGCGCGCACCCCGTCCGGGTGGCGTGTCATACCGCGCACCGAAATATTCGACACAATCCTCGTGCCGGCCGCGACGGTTCGAGAGAAACCAGAGCGGCGCCGGCGCCGACGCCCAGGAAGGCCGCGAAGACGGCGCGTGGAAGCCCCTACGTCCGCGGTCTCGTGGCTAGCGCCCGACCTGGAGTCGCATATTCCCTCGCACACCATAGCGGTGCCTCGAGCACCCCCGCCGCCGCCGCCTGAACCGACACCGCTGGACAATTTGCTCGCGGTGGCGGAGCTGGAGTTCAACCAGCAGCGCGGCGAGGAGGCGCTCGAGCTCGAGCTGCAGGGTGACACTGCGTCACAGTACCCCTTCTTGCCAGAGGCGGAAGAGGTCGCTTGTGACGTCATGTCCTTTCAGCTCGGTGACCCTAAGCAACCAGAGGACATATTCTTCGATCGTAAAACACATCTTCCGGAAAGAACTGCCGACGAGGATTTCCAGAGTGATATTGCACACGTGCACAAAGACCTGTTTGAGACGATAAGCGAGGCGCATTATTTGCCCGAGCTTGGAGGCCCACACGACGAGGCTCTGCTCGAGTCTCTAGTCGAGAAAGGCTGTGAGGATAATCAGATCCTTGGGCAGACACTTGACAAATTTGCGCATCTGGTGCACGCTAGCGGTGACTACGCTGAGGAAGAAGACGACATGCTTCTAGGCGGCGCTCCAGTCACTGATATTATTGATCGACTCGGGGAGTCTCTAGAATCACCCAGTCGCAGTAGCATGACGGCTGCACAAGGCCTCCTTCATTTACATCATATAGGAGATCATCTAACACAGTCAGACCACCAGCAGAGCATAGAGCAGACGTACTTGACGGAAGAAGTGTTTGTAAACGCTGAAGCGCAGTCTGAGTGTCCATTAGAGACGTTGTCTACGGACACAGAAATGCAAGGAGTAACGGACGTTAACCAATTAGATTATGATCGAAATGCTGAGAAGAGACTACAGACTGATGGCGACCCCGCCGATGCAATGTATACTGAGCAAGTACCTGATCTACCTTATAATAATAAATCGACAATACAGGAAGAACAAAATCGAACGTTACCGGATAACAGTGAAGTAACACTACCCAGTGAGATTTCGAATGACGAAAATATTTCAAGTTGTACTGAAACTATTGTGCCTAAAATTGAGGCGGAAGATTTTGATGAAGGTAATGTTCCAAACTTAGATTTATTTAAACAACAATCAGACGAATCGTCAGACGGTGCAGCAGATGGTGTAGAATTAGTTGCCACAGATTTAAGTAAAAAGGCTTGCGAAAAAAAAGGAAAACAAAAAACTGTTGCTACTATCGCTGAAACTACAAACTCGAATGAGGATATCGTGTCGGAACCTAAAGACCTAAGCGTGCATCGAAGACTCCCTACTCCGCATGCATCACCAAGAAGGATAGATATACCGCGTGCACCATCAAGGGAGTCCGATGCTATGCAATCACCCCAACCGAGCGGTATCCCCGCTGTACCGTCGTCTCCAGAAATATTTACTATGCCGCATACGAAAAGCAAACAATCTTTGTTTTTAGAATCTTTGCTTTCTTCACCTTCACCAAAAATGTATACATCAGAAGTCACCATCACTAAACAGCACAGTGAACCGTTGAATTTAGGCAAACATAGAAAATCTGCAAGTCCGACTGTCACCAGCTGCTCTGACGAAATGAGAAAATTGAATAAGGAATTTGGTGAACCTCAAGAGAAAAGAAGGCGAGAGTCAACAGAAGATTTGGCTAAGATTAGCAAAGTATTCAACAGATGTGAACGGGAAGATCAAGTTGATACTAACCCTGATCTACCACTGAAAACGCCAGAAAGGCGGCAAAAAGATAAAGACGATTTAAGTCCACTGAAACAGCTGCAACTCCTTAAGAATAATCCTGCTGTCAACATGCCAGATCCTCTTTTGATACCAAAAGAAAAATTGTATTTTATACTAAAATCTCCTGCGCGTGAAATTCCAGCCCTTTTGGTGGAAAGGCCCGAATTGAGAATGCCAGAAGCATTGAATCATCGGGCTCTCTTACAAGACCCAAATATTCTCTGCATAGCAATTTCGCAATTAGAAACCATTTTGGAAAGAGAAGCAAAATTAGAATTGTTGAGATCACTTCAAAACGCTGCAAAAAGTGCTTCGAGTTCAGAACAAACGAACATATCGCAACCCGACCAGAATAAAACAACAACATCTACGGATGGTTTAGCAGGGGAACTTGACGTAGCGAATTCAATGATATATAACCATATGTTGTGGGTACCCTATTTCACCCAACTCGAGGCCATGGCAGCGTGTTCACAAAACGCGGACTTTTTAAAAGCACTTAGTTCTTCCGGTTATCTGGGCTCTAATTACGCAGACTTATCGCTTATGAATCCGGCAGCTCGTCTAGGTGTGGGACCAACTGGTTTTCCGATGGTTTCATCCATGGACTACGATAATAGACTTCAATTTGCTATGTGGCAGGAAGCGATGAACAACACGAATGTATCACAACAACAAAGGGCTAAAAATAACAGTGCAGTGGAAGCTCAGATGAGAGAGATGGCGTCGAAATCCTCAGATGTACAAAATCCTTATGTTCATTCGACTAAAAACCACCAGAGCATAGGACATAACAACATGTCATCGCGATCGAGTCCAATGGCGTCTAACTACAACGCTGCCGCAGCCGTAGCCGCCGGACAGCGTGCAGCCGCATTACAACACAATCAATTTCTCCAGAATATGTACTCGGGAATAAACCCTAACATTAGACCAAACGTGCCACTGTCAGGCCTCCAGATTTCGCCCTATTACAACCCCAATCTGATGGGCAGAGATCAGCGATCGCCAAGGAGTAGTCAACAAAAAAGTCCGTCATCTCCTTTCTATCCGAACAACAATTATTTGCAATCAGTGCAATCCAAGCAATCTGATACCCAGATGCATCGTCAGAGGAGTAGTTCGACTGGATCGCATCAGTCGACGGAGTCGCCGCGGCCAAGGATCAGTGTGAAATCGTTGCATAATTTATTGGAACCGACGGCAGCAGCTGCCGCGACCGGCCCGCATTCCTCCTCGGGGAGGCGCAGCTCAAACCCTCCGGCGGCGGCGCTGGGTCGACGGCGAGACGAACCGGAGGTGGGCAGCACCACGCCGCTCGGAGAACCGCCGCTCATGCCGCCTCACCCGCACGATCCGGCTTCCTTTCACTTATGGCACCCGCTCTTCGGCAAGTGAGTAATTTTCGTATTCACAATTAGTAAATATTTGTTTTCTTATAAGATTTCATCTGTGTACTGTTTGCTTTATTTATTAGAGTTTCTTTGACTTTATAATTGCCGTTTGCTAACATAGCGTGCATCGACACTAGTTTGAGAACTTTAATGATATGTTGATACTTTTAAACTCAAACATTTTACTAAAAGTATGTGTGAGCTCGATATAAGCACAAATAAATCGATTTACTGTTCTGTTTATGTAAAATTTTCAATGCCTTAGTCATTGACATATGTCATAATTTCTTACAAAAACATTCTTAACCTCGCGTAATAAGAGATACAGTTTAACACATAGTGTGCTGAAAGCCGCCGTACATTACAACATTTTACAACAGCATATGTTGTAGTCAATTTAATTTTATTTTGTCATGACAGTCAATAAAGTGCATTGCTTATTTATATGTTCGGATATTGGGTCGGCGCGGCGGGCTAGGCTATTTTGCTAGAATCGATTGAGTACCAAAATAGAGGTGAAGTTAAGGGGTTGAATACTTATATTTGGTTATGGGTCAGTTTGTCTTTGTTGACGGAATTAGAATAGGGTCAATCTTTATCTTTTTTCTAATATAGAGCATCCTAAAATAGAGTATTGTTCTGAAGAGTTTAGCGAATAAAGAACACATAATAGTAACAAATCAAAAATTCGCTCATTTTTGTTCCAGTGAATATTTTACATTAGGTATCTAAAATTTCGTTTGTTATCTAATAAAATTTAGTTATTACTGGTGAAATAGGTTAATACAGTTTAAATAAATATTTTATTACAATTTTTAAATAGTTTTAAGTGGCTATAAAAGATCAATTTCCATTATATTTAAATAGAAAATTAACCATCATAATCTAGGATTTAATTGTAAACGTTGATCTTTAATGTCCAAAACATTTATAGTAAAGTTTTACTTAATAAACACTTAAATAAGATTAATAAAATAACTTTTTGATTTACTACATTATTTTTTATTAATATTTTTCATTCTTTTCATATTAATGTACAATGTAAATTGTGCTTGTATACAATTGCATTAATACGACATAAAGAGTTAAAGTTTGTATGTTCGGAGTAATCTCAGAAACTACTGGTTCGATTCGAAAAATTCTTTTAGTTTTGGATAGCCCTTTTATCGAGCAAGAATATAAGGCTATATAACATCACGCTACGGCTAATAGGAGGCGAGTATCAATGAAAAATGTTGCGAAAACGGGGAAGGGGGGGGGGGGTCAGCTAGTATTCAATAAATTAATAAGTGGGCAAATATGATCGTGTGGCATAATACACATCTATATCTAGACCCTTACTGAACAGAGCTTTTTAACCTAGCTAACCCCTTCTGGTCATCACCTCAAAGGGGCTCACAGTAAAGTCGTATATCTGAATCGAACCGACTAAAACCAGACGGGTTTCCATCACATGTGAATGGTGACCTCATTCTCCTGCCGAGTTCGAGAGGCACACGTGGAACATCTTGCGTCTCCATCTCAGGCCTGCCTCTGTAGCCTCTCAGTTAACCCCATCGTTAAACAGAGCTTCTGTCATAGGTATTTGAACGCAAATAAACATACGTAGAGTCTACAAATATTTGCATTGATCAGGATTTGAACCCGCAGATTGATTCATTGTCCATTTATCTATCTGTCTGCCTATTGATTACCTATCTACTCCTTAAAAACTTCTTAGTAGTAATCTCTAATCCTATCATTAAACATGGGTTTGTTTAATTATAACTTTTCTTAGAGTTTTGAATTAGAGAATTTACTTTTTCTTACGATCACCAATCAATTCTGGCAAAGGGACACATGACAAAAATATATACCAACGACTACTTAACCAATTTTTGTCGTTTATAAAAAGTAAAATTCATAATAATAATAATATTTCGGACATCTGATAAACAACGCCGAACTAAGGAAAGCTTGTACTATGATAACTAAATTGACTGACATAATACTGATATACTTTTTCTTCTAATACATACAATGTAAAAAAACCGCGCAACTAAAAAGTCATAAAAATTGCGACTTTTTTTTAAATTGCCAGTTCAAAATAGTTGTCTATTTTAGTACTCATCAAAAACTAAATGTTAAAATCCAATGAAATCCGGTGAAAATTAAAGTAAAAAAAAATATAGTTTAATAATATTTCGGACGTCTAACACAACGCCATCTATGTATATTCAAACAAGCAGAGCTTGTACTATGAAAGCTAGATTGACTGATGGAATACTTATATAGTTTTTTCTTTTTGTAAATACATACATATTATACATAGAAAACACCGAAACTCAGAAACAAATATTTGCAGATCATACAAACTTTTGGATCGACCCGGGATCGAAACCGAAACCTCAGCACAGCAGTCGCATTCGCTGGCATTGCACCACCGATGCAGAAACTATTAGCTAACATTCTCTTTTATTCATTTGTAAAATGTTGATATGGGTTGTAATGTTGACGGGCCTGACGGGCGGCCTGGTTAGCGATCCTGACAGCATGTCGAGGCCTGGTGGTGATTTTTTTCTAAATTTAATTGCTGTAGGGATCTAAAAACCTCAATTTAAAGTTTTAATAGCTTGTGTTTACATATCGTTATCGCAAATTTAACACCTCAATAGAAAAAAAAGTGTGTGTGCAATTCACACACGGCAGAAGTGAAACTATAGAAAAGAATATTTTATTAAATAAAAAGATAAATATATTCATACTGTCAAAATATTATATTTAAGAAAAAACACAATATACATACAAATATTATTGTATGAAAAATCAATACAAATAATTTACTAATGTTACTAAATTTAATTTTATATAAATTTAAATAAATAAAAATTATTGGTCAAATTAACACAGATATGTTAAATAATTAACATAAATTAGTTAACCAACGAAGTTTAATACAAAAATGCAAAAAAATCAAACACTTGAATGTTACACCACGTAGTTTATGACACATTTTCTAAAGGCTTCGTTGTACGCAGGCGCAAAACACGAGATAGCATAGAAGAGACGAAGATTACAGAAAACACTGTATACTTGCAATCTATCTCATTCTCTCGCAGGCTAAATCCTATTAATGAATATGTTTGTCTCTTTTATACCGTCGCTTTTTCGTTTCATCGAATTTTCAAATCACAACGGTGCTACTTCAAAAAAAAAACAACATCTCTACTATGAAAAAAGTCTCGTGACTATTTTGATATGTCATTTCTTTGTACTTCTACTGACAACTGACCGAGAAGAAGCCTCTAAAAACATAGGTTTTTTTCATAACTTTTCAATGTTTTGTTTACAATCAAAGTAAGACACAAATTAACACAATACGGCTTCGTATTCCTCACAGCATTTTAATCAATTAAATCTTATTAACTAAGGTCAGTTGACAACCGTATAAAATGCGTTCGAAATACAAGAAGTATAAAAAGAAATGCTCTACAATCTATGCTTTTTAAGTTTATGATGATTCATTAAGCCGTGACTAAAATAGCGGGCACATAAACGTTTTATCGTTGCTGTTTGTGTTATTTTAGTAACTACCGCTTACATATTTAACTATTTATGTTTAACTTGCTGGACATTAATGTCAGTATTAGCTGGTAAGCTAAAATAGTATTAAGAGTTACTTGCTAAACTGTTAGAAGTGCCTCATCATCATCCACCTATTACCAAACTAGATTCGGGTCCTTTTTCAGTCTACTGAACACACGGCTGAACGTCTACTACACGGCTGAACTTCGTCTTTTTACGTGGAACTACTGCCTTCAGACCTCCACAACCCCAGTAATAGGCGATTTCGATGTTGTTGTTTTTTTAAAGACAACTCTCGCGCTAGGAATAAATCCTGTGTCGCGGGAGTTTACAAACATACATGAAGCGGACACAAAAGACACCCAGACTCAGAACAACAATTTGTTGATCACACAAAGTGTCGTCCCATGTGGGGATCGGACCCACAACACTCAAAGTAGGAAGCGGCGTAGCGACCGCTTAAACCACTACGCCATCCGTGCAGTCGATATCAATCTGAAATTAAGCGAGTTCCGATCGAACAATCGGAACAATCAAGCATCGATTAGCTTTTAGTGCCAAGACTCTTGGCAACGAAAATAAAATAAATTATTCGAAAGAGGAACAAACGATCTACATCTCGTACCTATATCTAAGATATTCACAATAAGCGAAATTTTGTCTTCGCTTGTTATATTTGCCCTCGAATTTATATGCAACAAAGGCTCGTGAATTCATGTTTGGCTAGCTATTAATTTATTGGTTTCGTGTTAACAAAGAGAAATGAGATTTGAATGTTCTTAAATCGCTTTTAAAAATTATATTGCTACCTGTAATAGTAAGGGTTCAATGGTTTTTTGCCCGTTATTCTAAAAAAGATTATTCGTAATATACAGTGAGTTCTTCTTCTTTTTTGCTGACGGGGTGGACGACCAGCCCGACGGCCAGTCGCTCTACTCTGGGAGGACCCAGACTATGTTATTTCAGGTCCTCCCCGAATAGACAGCTTGCCTAATAAGGCACTATCCCAGGGGAGAACACTTCCCCCCCTCAATCGCGGCGTAGCAGCCCGATCATGTCTTAGTGCGATCAGGCCGCCATTCTATCCCCTTTTTGTTTTTTGTTGACGGGGTTGAAAATCCCTCGGATCTCCGGCTCCTTGGGGATGTAGGAGCCAGAAGTATGTGGTGTTTCCACTAAAAACCACCCCGACGGCGACTCAGGCGCCCTGCTCCGAGGAAGACCCGGATCATGTTATTTCGGGTCAGGGTTTCAGTAATGATAGCTAGCGGGCACCATCTCGTCCGATTTGGTCAACCAGGCCTTCGCGTTCAGACGCCCACGCGGGGCAGTCTTCCAACGTGTGCTGTGTGGAGTCCCAGTCGGCTACGCAGTGCCGGCAGTCGGTGGGTGAAGCGACCTCCCTCCCTACATACCCCAGCTTCGAGATTAGGCAAACCG